TGTAAGCGTAACCCTGGTTTACCAAAAACCTAAGCGCAGATTTGATAGCGATTCAAAAAGAATACTGTTCAAGTTACATACCTCTGCCTTTTTCGTGAATAACCCATTTCCACTGTATCTTGAGAAACCAACGAGTAGAAAAATGCATTGAATTGGTCTGTGGAATGCTTCTTGGCACGAAGAATGCGACCTAACCTTTGAGCTTCCTGAAAATGTTTTTAAAATTTTGTGAAGATCGCGGCATCGCGAAAGCTTCAAAAGTTTTACTTATCACTAAATTTTAAAAAATTCATTTCGTGCCATCCGTTCCTTTAGAAAAGGGAAAGGACAATGTTAAACTCATGTAAAAAAGGCGACCCCCAACATTACTGACTAACCTGCCGTCTTGAACCACCATGTGCAGAAACTTGAATAAGAACGTTTGCTTCTGGCAAATCAAATGATGTATCAGCAACCTGAACGAGCAAGCATAGTGGTGACGATTAGGCAAAAAGTGTTCATATAAACCAACCTTTGACACGAATATGGTATTTACACGAGGGTTGTACTGGAAGTTTTGCAGAATTTTCATTCGCTCATTCTGACTCGTCTCGCCATAGAGGAAAGGCTTATTCATTTCTATAGCATACTTTTTGAGGGCAAAGACGTTGTCAGAGAAGACAATGATCTGGAAGATAATTACTGGCTTAAAACATACAAACAATAATAAGGATAGAAATTCTTTAAAAAATTTATCTGAAGAAGGAAAACTTTGAAAGTAGAGTTCAGCATTAATGATAATACATTCATTCAAAAAACAAACCTTATCATTTCTGCGTTCGTGGAATTTGATGAGAAACTGGCAAATACGGAACTTGTTGGGGTTCATTACGGCCAGCAACAAACGCCGAGCAATTTGAGCCCTGAAAATAACATTAAAATCGAAAGGAATAATTGTACAGCATATGATATATTTGAATTCTATTAGCTGCTCTCTGCACCCACTAAGAGCACAACTTAGTCTCACCTAAGATAATATGCGTAAAATTCGGAGGTCATCGGGCACCAAACTTCTGCACACTGTACCTTTGCAATATGACCAGCCTTCT